TCAAATCATACAGTAGGAATGGAATCAAATCATACTGTAGGAATGGTATCAAATCATACAGTAGGAATGGAATCAAATCATACAGTAGGAATGGTATCAAATCATACTGTAGGAATGGAATCAAACCATACAGCAGGAATGGAATCAAATCATACAGCAGGAATGGAATCAAATCATACAGTAGGAATGGTATCAAATCATACTGTAGGAATGGAATCAAATCATACAGCAGGAATGGAATCAAATCATACAGCAGGAATGGAATCAAATCATACAGTAGGAATGGTATCAAATCATACTGTAGGAATGGAATCAAACCATACAGCAGGAATGGAATCAAACCATACAGCAGGAATGGAATCAAATCATACAGCAGGAATGGAATCAAATCATACAGTAGGAATGGAATCAAATCATACTGTAGGAATGGTATCAAATCATACAGTAGGAATGGAATCAAATCATACAACAGGAATGGTATCAAATCATACTGTAGGAGTTAAATCAAATCATACAACAGGAATGGTATCAAATCATACTGTAGGAATGGAATCAAATCATACAGCAGGAATGGTATCAAAGCATACAGAAGGAATGGAATCAAAGCATACAGAAGGAATGGAATCAAATCATACAGCAGGAATGGAATCAAATCATACAGTAGGAATGGAATCAAATCATACAGCAGGAATGGAATCAAATCATACAGCAGAAATGGAATCAAATCATACAGCAGAAATGGAATCAAATCATACTGTAGGAATGGTATCAAATCATACAGCAGGAGTTAAATCAAAGCATACAGAAGGAATGGAATCAAATCATACAGCAGGAATGGAATCAAATCATACAGCAGGAATGGAATCAAATCATACTGTAGGAGTTAAATCAAATCATACAGTAGGAATGGAATCAAATCATACAGTAGGAATGGAATCAAATCATACAGTAGGAATGGAATCAAATCATACAGTAGGAATGGAATCAAATCATACAGCAGGAATGGAATCAAATCATACAGCAGAAATGGAATCAAATCATACAGTAGGAATGGAATCAAATCATACAGTAGGAATGGAATCAAATCATACAGTAGGAATGGAATCAAATCATACAGCAGGAATGGTATCAAATCATACAGCAGGAATGGAATCAAATCATACAGTAGGAATGGAATCAAATCGTACAGCAGAAATGTAATCAAATCATACTGTAGGAATGGACTCTAATCATACAGCAGGAATGGAATCAAATCATACAGCAGGAATGGAATCAAATCATACTGTAGGAATGGTATCAAATCAAACAACAGGAATGGAATCAAATCGTACAGCAGAAATGGAATCAAATCATACTGTAGGAATGGTATCAAATCATACAGCAGGAATGGAATCAAATCGTACAGCAGAAATGGAATCAAATCATACTGTAGGAATGGTATCAAATCATACAGCAGGAATGGAATCAAATCATACAGCAGGAATGGAATCAAAGCATACAGAAGGAATGGAATCAAATCATACAGCAGGAATGGAATCAAATCATACAGCAGGAATGGAATCAAATCATACAGCAGGAATGGAATCAAATCATACTGTAGGAGTTAAATCAAATCATACAGCAGGAATGGAATCAAATCGTACAGCAGAAATGGAATCAAATCATACTGTAGGAATGGTATCAAATCATACAGCAGGAATGGAATCAAATCATACAGCAGGAATGGAATCAAATCATACAGCAGGAATGGAATCAAATCATACAGCAGGAATGGAATCAAATCATACTGTAGGAATGGAATCAAATCATACAGCAGGAATGGTATCAAATCATACAGCAGGAATGGAATCAAATCGTACAGCAGAAATGGAATCAAATCATACAGTAGGAATGGAATCAAATCATACAGCAGAAATGGAATCAAATCATACTGTAGGAATGGTATCAAATCATACAGCAGGAATGGAATCAAATCATACTGTAGGAATGGAATCAAATCATACTGTAGGAATGGAATCAAATCATACAGCAGGAATGGAATCAAATCATACAGCAGGAGTTAAATCAAATCATACAGCAGGAATGGAATCAAATCATACAGTAGGAATGGAATCAAATCATACAGTAGGAATGGAATCAAATCATACAGTAGGAATGGAATCAAATCATACAGTAGGAATGGAATCAAATCATACAGTAGGAATGGAATCAAATCATACAGAAGGAATGGAATCAAATCATACAGCAGAAATGGAATCAAATCATACTGTAGGAATGGTATCAAATCATACAGCAGGAATGGAATCAAATCATACAGCAGGAATGGACTCGAATCATACAGTAGGAATGGAATCAAATCATACAGCAGGAATGGAATCAAATCATACTGTAGGAGTTAAATCAAACCATACAACAGGAATGGAATCAAATCATACAGCAGAAATGGAATCAAATCATACTGTAGGAATGGAATCAAATCATACAGTAGGAATGGTATCAAATCATACAGCAGGAATGGAATCAAATCATACTGTAGGAGTTAAATCAAATCATACAGCAGGAATGGAATCAAATCATACAGCAGGAATGGAATCAAATCATACAGCAGGAATGGACTCTAATCATACAACAGGAATGGTATTAAATCATACAGCAGGAATGGATAATGTGGCCTTTAATCCGGGTATTAAAGATGGAGACCAAGGTAAGGAATATACACGAGGAATAGACAATAGAATAACGGCACTAGTGACCAGCTTATTAAACACAATATTGTTTTAATATACCTATATAACACTTGAGATTTCAAGCTTTCTGTTAATATTATTATATTATAGTTTTATCGCATCCAGGACGTTAAACCCCATTTCTCTCTCTCCCTCTCACTCTGAACGGAACAATAGGCCTGTGTATTGCTTGTATAGCTGGTATAGGCCTGTAAATCATTATTAACGCTTTTAGTTATAGACGGTCTAATAAATTTATTTAATACCCGCGTTTATCTTGTTTATCTACATTTCAACGTATACATACATATCGATCGCTTTACAAAAATCAATAAAATTCTAAATAATTAAATTCAATTGATGGCTTATTTGATAAATATGTAATATTACGCTAAACTGAAATTAAAATTATAAAACAAAAACATAAATAATAAGTATTTTTTAATTATTATTCAAAATGAACTAATCAGATATAAGTGATAACAAAATCAACCAATACTAAACAGGCACTTGGAGCTCCGTACAATTTAATAACTGCTCCCTGTAATGGTCGTGAACAGACGACAGTGGCAGAACAGGTCTCGTGTGTGTGTATAAAAGGTGTATATTTATAATTACTATACTTTTCTATGTCAGTCTGTCTTTGCTGTATCAAAGAATGGCGTATAATATAGATATTTTAAATAATTTGACAATCCAATAAGCTGATTTGCTGATTTTTGTAACTATGCTTTTCGGTTCACGAGTTCGACTTGCACAGCATAACAGTATTGTAAATTGAACCGGTGTGCTATAAACAAACTATGGAAAGCCGTTCGAGCGTATTTATATCCGCTAGTGATCCCACTGTTGAAGTCTACGGAATGACAACACAGCGGATTCGTCTTTAACGATTTCCTACTATGCTTTTCAGTATATTGGTTTGACTCGCCCAACTTAACGTAACAATGTTGTAAATTGAACGGGGATGCTGTTAATAAACTATGGAAAGACGTTCGGGTGTATTCATATCCTCTAATGATTCCACTGTTACAGACATCACAGGCGGGTGTCAGGTGTATTCTAAACAGTTCCAAAGTTTCCTGAAAATTCAAATTATAACGATATTCTGGCTTATTTTGTGAATGATGTCGATTACAATTTTCTATACGCGATTTTGACTAACTGGTCTAATTGTATATTGAACCGGTGAGTTATAAATAAACTATGGAAAGCCGTTCGATCGTATTCATAACCGCTAATGATTACTCGATTGATATATTTTATAATAATATACTAGGATTGTATATATATCTGAATTTCTTTTTACCGGATCCAATTTGGTATTATAAGTCTTTTTCCTGGGTTGGGGATTTACAGTGGCCTTTGATATACCCATTAGAGTCTATTATGTACTTCGATACTGGATACCCAACCACGTAACACACTAACTAATTTATAGAAATCATTTTTGTTATTTTAATATTCAACATGGTGATGGTAGGATCTAGTTGCAGGGAATAGTTGGAAAGCAAAAAAGGTTCAAAATAAGGTTTAAAACCATAGGTCTAGGTAGTTTAAAGTATCGCATCATTAAGCTATACCGAGGATTAAGCTGGTAGGATCAAGGAGCGGGGAATAGTTGGAAAGCAAAAATAGTTTTTAAAAAGTTGCAAACCATGGGTCTGGGTAGTTTAGAGTATCGCCTCAGTATCTATACTGAGTAGAGCTGGCGGCAACAATCCATTTACGATCTTATTCACATTTAATTACAATTACTACCTGGAAAATAACAGGTATGCTATCTTTTTTTTTTGGGGGGGGGGGGGCTATCAAAGTTTAGTATTGTATTCTAACTATAATAACATGTTGGTATACTATTATTGTATATAATTCCTACATAGGAAATGCTATCTTTATTTGGAAGGGTGGATTAAAGTGTTTATATACTACAGTTTATTATTGTATTCGGGCTATAAACAACAAGTTACATCTTCACCAGTGTTCCCTCACGCTGATTCAGTAATTGGTCATTTTATAGGATTATATCTTACAAAGCCTAGCGATACTAAAAGTAAAACCCGCATGTTTTTAAACAGAGAGCACACAACCTTACCCTTGGTGAGTAGACTAGTGATTACACGTTCTGATACACTAATTTAAAAATTTATATAACACCAAAAGAGATAAAACGTTCTTTTTTGTGTTTCTTAAGGTAAATTTTATAATACTCCTGTAAAATCCTATATTGAAAGCTAAAACTTGTAGTTTACAAATTAATATTTACTATTTTAGGTATTTTCTATACTATTAAGTCCAAATCGGTATTGGAAGCCCAAACTATGGATAAAGACGCCACCATGCAGAATGGTGTCCTGTTAGAATCACCCGTCAGTGGTGGCGAAGAGTTAACCAATGTTGGTGAAGATGCAGCACAAGATGAAACTAAAACAAAGTCTTTCCTACAGAGCATGAGACAAGCTGCATACAGATCTAAATTTATCCAGAGCCTGGTGCTTTGTTTCGCTTTTTGGAGTTTAGTAAGAAATATGATTTTTTTTGTGTGTTTATATCGATTACAAATTGGCATTGTGTTATCATTAACACATCACATCAATCATATTCAATGTTTGATATTCAGCTGAATCAATATTAATGAAGCATAGTAAGCAAATGATTTCGCATAATCAAATTGATAATTATATATTTATTAATATGACAATGAAAATTATATGTTGTACCATTAACTCTTTTACATGAAATGAAATGGGGCTTAGCGTCCTACTAGGCTAATGAAGACGGGTATACGCCACACAGTGTGGTATATGAGGGAATTTTGCCCGGACAGCGGCGCTACGGCCTACTCTTATATCGAATTCCAACTGCCAAGGGTCCTTTTGTATGCACGCCAATGTGTACACGGGGCGTCTATTTTTCGTTACATCCGAACGACTATATGCTGTTCCTTGATAGGTTCACTGAAGGGTGGGGGTGAACACGCCGGAAAATCCTAATGAACTTTCTCTGTAAACACAGGGGTCGAACACGGAACCTCCGGGTTAGCGAACCAAACGTCCTACCCACTGAGCCACCGTGGCTTCCCCATTCGGCTTATAGCAAATATAATTTTTTTTTATTTAGGGTTTTCAAGTTGGTCAGAGGGGTCCATCATTTTTGGACATCCAACTCATCACTAACACTGATGTGGAAAAAGCTTCGACGTTTTTTACTGCTGGTTCTGTAGGCTATCTGTGTGGTTCCTTAATCAGTGGTGTGCTGTATGACAGATTTAACAAGACCCTTCTACTAGGGCTGTGTGTAATCCTCATGGCAGTCACAGTCGGACTACTGCCCCTGTGTTCACCATATGGACTCATGCTGTTTATCTCCTGGGCTAATGCATTTTTTATGGGCGGAATGGATACAGGTAGGGAGAGATTAAGATAATAAATCATCAAGTATTTGTGAGTCGGGAACCTCCCGATTACTTCTATGCATAAATCCTGGTCATTTGAAAAGTTGCCCTGTTTGACTTTGCATGGTTAAGTATCTTTTGGATTCATATGGCACCTATTTTTTACAACAATCACACAATGTTCTGCCTTTCTCTTCCAAAGTGATTTTCTGCCCCCCCTACATTTTATTAACGTTGGATTGTGTGTTATATATTTGTTCTAGCAAATATTTCCTTCTGTTTAAGAGGGAGGGTTGGATGGCCGATTGGTTAACGCGTGCGTGTTGTATCATAAGGTCTGTCATTGAGTCAACTGACGAGGTTTCGATACACGTGAGAAAAAGTAAGGTCGCTTGTCCAGCCTCGTGGGGTTTCTCCGGGTTTCCTCCCACTGCGAAAGACTCCTAAACACAAGCGAATTATTGAAATAAACTTGAACCATAATTGGTCCAAAAATGACTTAGTTTGCGTCGAGTGGACCTTAAACTCATCTCTCTCTCCCTCCCTCTCTCTCTCTCTCTCCCTCTCTCTCTCTCTCTCTCTCTCTCTCTCCTCTTTCTCTTTTTCTCTCTCTCTCTCCCTCTCTCTCTCTCCTCTTTCTCTTTCTCTCTCTCTCTCCTCTTTCTCTTTCTCTTCTCTCTCTCTCTCCTCTCTCTCTCTCTCTCTCTCTCTCTCTCTCTCTCTCTCTCTCTCTCTCTCTCTCTCTCTCTCTCTCTCTCTCTCTCTCTCTCCTCTTTTTCTTTCTCTCTCTCCCCCTCCCTCTCTCTCTCTCTCTCTCTCCTCTTTTTCTTTCTCTCTCTCCCCCTCCCTCTCTCTCTCTCTCTCTCTCTCTCTCTCTCTCTCTCTCTCCTGTTTTAATTAGTTTTTAAGCTTACTAAATTATTAAATTTGATGTTATGCATGGTTTTCCCTTATCAGTGATGCAGGACGAATGGCCTTGGCGTTCGGGTGAGACGAAAACTGAGATTCTATGTATACGCTGGCGTTCACGTAAAAGAACGTTTGACGGTTGGAATTCGTAATAAGAGTAGTAGGCCATAGCGTCACTGTCCCGAGCAAAATTGCTCTTATCGTACACTGCATGACCTATACGGACACAGATCACTAAAGATTTGCCCATTGACTCCAATGTTAATTCTCGTATCTTAGACCGGCTTTAACTTTTTCCCAAATTTTCGTTGGGTAGAACGCTTTCTACCACAGATGGAGCAACATGTGGCAACCACTAGTCAAAAGCACGTATGAGGTTCTTTATGAAAAACTTGAGATACACAAGCTGGAAGTAGAGACAAGTAAACATGCAATTTCAGGCCCTACATTTCAACGTAACCAACCTCTCAACTCTTGTATCCTTCCGCATCAAAATTATGAATATTCACCAAAACCTGGCAGAAAATGTATTTTCAAACCCTTTTCCTCAATTCTACACCAAAAAGTCAACAAAAATCGCCATGCAAAAGGGGGAAAAAGGAAAAGGGAGAGGAAGACTAAAAATAGCTTTGGCCCTTGTTTCGTGGGTGACGGCGTAGGAATATTTGGTGATCTGTGTGGATACGCGTCTTCGTTAAACCCAGTTCACTTCCTTTCTGTTATTGTCAAACGCTGTTTGGAGGTTGAGTGGCGTGCACGCGAGAGCATAAGATCTCCCATTGAGTCAAGTTGCGTGGTTTCCTCCCACAGCTAAAGACCTATCTGCGCATGCGAATTATTCAAGTACAAATTGAGCCAAACGTTTGTCCCGAAAAGACCTAGTTTATGTCGTCGAGTGGACATAAACCCAATTTTCTCTCTCTTTTTACACCCTCCAATTTCGTTTGCTTTGGTAGTGAGCTTAGTTGCTGTTGTTTAAATGGATTTTTTGGTTTACTTTGTTTTGTAATGTTATAGTCACAGTCGACCAGTATGTAGCATGTAGTGGCATGTTATAATCACAGTCGACCAGTATGTAGCATGTAGTGGCATGTTATAGTCATAGTCGACCAGTATGTAGCATGTAGTGGCATGTTATAATCACAGTCGACCAGTATGTAGCATGTAGTGGCATGTTAAAGTCACAGTCGACCAGTATGTAGCATGTAGTGGCGAGTGAGGTGTTCACCCCCTACAGTGGTTTCAAAGTATATTTTACTTTCTTACAGGAGGGAATGCTCATTTAGTTTCACTCTGGGGAAACGATGAAGGGAGACCATATATGCAGGCTGTTCACTTTTCGTTCGCGTTTGGTGGAGTTATCTCCCCTTTAGTAACAGCCCCATTCCTTGTACCGAACACTGAAGAGAGATCAACCAACTCCTCGTCAACAACATTTACAGACGTAACGACTTTATCTTCTACTGTTGTACTGAATACTACACTATTAGATTATAACATCACCAATGATAACTCAACTCTAGGTAATAATATCACCACGATTACTGAGCCAATTGAAACTAAATTAATCTATGCTTATATAATATCTGGTATTCTCACCTTACTATCCGCCATACCTTTCATGGTGATATATTGTCGTTACAAGTCACAGAAGATGAAGAAGAATCAGCCCAAGAAGAAGGATGAGAATGGTGTCACAAGGGATCTTCCTTGGAAATATTATATTATGACTATTATCCTTTTAAATTTATTCTATTTAACATATTGTGCTGTGGAGGACACATTTGCCGCATATTTACTGACTTTTGTGGTAATGCAACTTAAATGGACTAAGGCACAGGGTACACAAATTACTTCCGTATATTGGGCAGCTTTTGCCGTTTCGAGATTTTCAGGTATTTTTATCATACGTTGTTTACGACCGATTTTAATGTTATTTATATGTATAGCTGGTTTAATTCTATGTTTAATAGGATTTCTACTCTGTTCACATTATCAAATACATATAGGAATTTGGATTTTCGCCGTTTTAGTCGGACTTTCAATGTCGGTTATATTTCCAACTGGGTTTTCTTGGGCCCAAGAAAATCTCCTACAAATAACTGGTAAAATTACATCCTTTATATTAATAGCTGCGTCAGCCGGTACAATGACGAATCCTATTATTATGGGATATTTGATGAAGAAGATAAGTCCCATGTGGTATTGTTATTTATTAGTGGGCGAGAGTATTTTATGTCTTGTTGTTTTTGTCGTTTTGTTATCCGTCTCTAAGTTTGTTTTAGTTAATAAACGTATCATTAAAAGTATAACGATAGAAGTTGAATCGACGGAGACCGAACCCTGCAACAATCCGCAAACAGCACCCATTGACAATAGCTCACCCTTTGTTACAAATAATGTATCATCTGAACTGTAAACTTATGTCTCTTCTGTATTAAAACTTTAATTCAATTTCAGATTTAAGTGGTTGATTGGCAGGTGAAGTCTTAAAACACGTGTGCTTTACATCACTTAAAGTATATTTACTTGTTAATTCGCCTTCAAGTGTCTGCCACATTTTGGATGGGGGGGGGAGGAGCGGTTAACGCGTGCCAAAATCAGTCACTATGTCAGGTGGTGGCGTGGTTTCGATTTCCAGGTCGTATGTGACGAGCAGCAGGGTCGCTTTCTAACCTCGTGGGTTTTCTGCGGGTCCCCCAGTTTCCCCCCACTGCTGTAGATCCGTATTGAGGGGTTAAGTGGGTAAGAAGCTGGCTCGCTAGCCTGGAGGTCGGGTGTTTGATCCCTGAATCCAAATTCTCAGGCGTGGTTTCCCCTTGTTAGTGATGCAAGACGGAGGGCCTGACAAGGTCAGTTGTCTAGTCGTTCTGATGGGACGAAAACCGATGTCTCGTGTACACACATTGGCGTGCACATAAAAGATCCCTTGGTAGTTGGAATTCGATATAAGAGTAAGCCGTAGCGCGGCTGCCCGAGCACAATTCCCCTCATAGCACACTGTACGGCGTATGCCCGTCTTCATTAGCCCAGATCGGAGCAGAACAGTAGGACGTTTAACCCCATTTCATTTCATTTCATGTAGATCCGTATTGGAATAACATTGAACCATGTGTTAGTCCTGAAATGCTCTAATTTATATCGAGAGGACGTAAAACCCCAATTATCTCTTTGATGCATTTGGCCGCTTATGGACGCGATGTCAAACTTGTACAGTGGGATGCTCATGATGAAATCGAACTCTGTGTTGGCCGAGAAGTTCTTCGTATGTTGTACGAAAATAGTCCGAATTAAAAATAAGAGTAGGCCATGGCATACTGTTCCTCATAGCGTATAGTGGTCTTCATTAGCATGGAAAGGGGGTAGGTGGTCAAGGGTCTTAACGCGTGAGCGTAAAATCACAAGATATGCCATTGAGGCAAATTACGTGGTTTCGATTCACGCTTTTACGTAACAAGGAGTAGGGTCGCCTGTTCAACCTCGTGGCTTCTCTCCGGGTCCTCCGGTTTCCTCCCACTGCTAAAGACCCCTACGCACAATCAAATTAATGAAATAAAAATCGAACCATATGTTGTTTGTCCCGAAATAACCTAGTTTATGTCGACGTTAAACCGTATGTCTCTCTTTCTCTCTCATTAGCATGGATTGCGCAGAATAGAGGGCGTTAAACCCCATTTCATTTCATCGTAGGGGGGTTGGATGGTCGAATGGTATCATGTATCATAAGGCCTGTCATTGAGTCAACTGTCGTGGTTTTGAATCCCCGGTTGTACGTGACAAGGAGTAGAGTCGCCTGTCCAACCTCGTGGGTTTTCTCCGGGTCCTCCGGTTTCCTCCCACTACTAAAGACCCCTATACGCACAATCAAATTATTGAAATAAATTTAAACCATATGTTAGTCCGAAATGACCTAGTTTGTGTCGAGTGGACGTTAAACCCCATTTCATCGTGTATACTAATGGCACTCAGCAATCAGACTAATTATCTGTTTTATTTCAGTGAATTCATGGATATTAAAACCGAAGAAGATAAAAACAGAATTTACATTTCAATACTATACAACAGAAAGAAAACATCTGACCACATTTCTTACCCAATACCTGTCGATTATAATAGCGTATTCTGTCAATACCTGGCGATTATAGTAGCATATCCTGACAATAGCTTGCGATTAGAGTAGTGTATCCTGACAATAGCTTGCGATTATAGTAGAATATCCTGACAATAGCTTGCGATTATAGTAGCGATCCTGACAATAAAGGTAATATATCCAATTATTGTATACGGCTACTAGTCCACAAGTTGCCATGTTCATAGGTCCGCGCCATTTAACAATTCTTCAAGTACTGGTAAAGATGCTTCTATTTCAGCTGCAATTCTAGTCAGCTCCGCAGCATCTTTGTGTTCTCTGCCTTGATGTATACCAATGGAGTTGATAGTTATGGCGTAAACATCTAGTGGAAGGGTGAGTATAGAAAAGACTACCCCGGCCACAGCAAGACCTCTCGATGCTCCCCTTAATACACCAAATGCCGTTCTACTAGCATCTGCAATAGCATCAGTAGCACGGGCCAATTGGATAAAACTTCTAATGACACTACCAAAGTTACTTATCGTCGACACAGTTAACCTTCCAGAATCAATGGCTAATTGTATACTATCCTGAATATTTCTTAAGTGATCTGAATCCCTTTGGAGGAGTCCGGTTATTTCGTCACGTGTTTGCTTGGTGATGACTGTTTTAGCTATCCCCGCCCCAACTCCTGTTATTGCCCCTCCTCCAGCGACCGCCGCGCCTACTGCTGACACTATTAATGAGACACCGAAGGTGAAGAAGCTAGCAATGAATCCCCCGATCATCATTCCACCACCAACAGCACCTCCTACTCCACCAGCTATTTTGCTTATACTCACATCGTTTTCCAGCTTGTTGAGTTCATTGGCAGTTTGTCGAAGGATGCCAATCAACTCTCTTCGATTCTTTATTAATAGCCGAATATTACGGCCCGTTTCACCATTTTGTCCATTCATCTTTCCAGTACTATGTGCGTGATATGTACGTTACAATCTGAAGTTGAAAACAAAAATCATTTATGCTTAAGAAGTTTGTTTTTTTTATCACAAAAGAGAATACTTAAATTTAGATTAAACCAGAAAGAGAATACTTAAATTTAGATTTAACCAGAAAAAGAGCGATTAAATTTAGATAAAACCTAAAGAAAAAGATACCAAAAAGAACCTATTTCTTGGCGTCAAAATCGTCGAAACGTTTTTCTCATTTCAGAAATCCTACACGTCGGTCTTGGTGTGATTTTCTGAAGACACTGAAGTTTCGGTATTCACACCATTCTTAAACAGCAGTATTTTCCAGAACCTTTGTGTTATATATATATGGGGAAAAAACTCCACCTTATGGCACATTCTATATACCATATAAAATGAAATGAAATGAAATGGGGTTTAACGTCCCACCGTTCCATATGTTTAATGTACCAAATTAAGCTAGACATGTTGGTCGATTTAAAATAACATAACAAAGGCTCAAGAAAGCAAATGTTACTTCTATCCCATTTTACCCACCAAACTCAACGAACAAATAAAAATATTAAAAAGAACTAATTCTCCGACCGACCCTTTTAGTAACTGGGGTTTTTTTTTCGATCTATATTTCGTTTCGTTTTTTTTTATACTTTCGATGGCCTACATTACATGACGAACTGACGAGTTGTACTGAAAGGTCATGTCAGCGGTCATATAAGCAGCTTTTGACCCTATGACGTCAGACATTGATTAATCATTCACTAAAGGATTATAATCATTCAGCGTTTATTTCTAGTGGTTTACCTACATATCTGTACATGGCACGCCAAGAACGCGTCGTAACAGACCGCTTCATTGGCTAATCCCTCACTTCAACCAAAACGCCGGTAATATAACAACTTTTCCAGATCCTAGTGTAGTAAAAACAAACGAAATTTTGAATTATAAAAAACGAAACAAAATACGATCTGTGTTATAATCAGACTGGCTAAAATCAGTTGTTAACGCGTGACCATACAGGCTCTTAAGAAAGGCGGACGTAAAGAGCTCACGTTGATATAAGCTCATCATATTGTATAATCCACATCGATTAGTTACTTATTACTTATAAATGCTTTAATAACGAATTACTTCTTTCGTTTAAACTATTTACTTACTTCCTGCTTCCTGTAATCGAATAAATAGTTCAATCGAATTGGGTATTTAGTTTAAAAAATGGCCTCAATGTTTAACACCATTACCCGTAGCCTTGTTTAAAATAGAAAGTGGTCACCTTGGTTGTAGATAAGTTAAGTGTCAAGATGCTGTCGAAATGATCTATAGACTACCGTTTACTGTTTTAATAAACTGTATTATGTTTTAAGTCGTAATATGTGATTCCCAGGGAAAACCCGTATTCTTACGCTCAGTTACGAGATATGCTCAATTATTTTAATGGCTAAATGAGCAGCTAATGTCGACATAATCAAGTTTCAACCACTTGCCAGATTATAGATAACATACCGACAACAGATGGCAACTTTATTCAAATATATTAACTCTTAAAGGAAATGAACTGAAATGGGGCTTAACGCCCTATATACTGGGCTAATGAAGATGGGTATTCGCCATTGGCGACAGCGTGTACCATGAGGGTAATGTTGCCTGGGCAGCGGCGCTACGGCCTACTCTTATATCGAATTCGAACTGCTATGGATTATTTTGCGTGCATGCCCATGTGTACACAATACCTCGGTTTATCGTTCCATCTGAAGGACTATGCGTTGTTCCTTGCCAGAACTTCTGCCCGGCGCCGTTGACGTGGGGGAACCACGCAGGAAAATTCCGATAAGCTTTCTCGGCCAGCATCGGGATCGACCACGTGACCCCCAGGTTAGAGAGTCAACGTCTGGCCCATTGAGACACCACGGCCCCCAACCCTTAAAGACATTTTTTTAAATTACAATTCAGTTTCCAAGAATGGTTGCTAACTTGTTGATATACATTATTATAAATTAAAACCCGAAGGCGGCTTGCTAATTTGATGACTGAAACGTTTGATATATTGTGATGTAAGACTCGATATGCTTCATCTTGAAAAATATTACACAATTAAATATATTACAAGCATATTACCATGTTATTGGTTGAAATGGACAGGTGTTGTTATTAATGAGAATACCAAGTGTGATAGAATACATAACTCTTATTTATTAAAAAGATATTTTAATACTGGATAACATATTTACAGGTACATATGAACCTCATTTGGTTGGGTATAGTAACGTCTATCTATAGCTGCTCCCCTTAGGTCGCAGAAGACCCAACTTCTCCGGGGTCGAGGGCAGACCCTCCCCCGAGGTCCGGTCCGGATTCCTTCTAGGTCTCTACAGGTCTCTTCCATCTCTCTCCAAGTCTGCCTGTCTGACAGGCTT